CAAGCGCCAGGTCCTGAGTCCCCAGTACCAAAAAAAACAACAAAAAAAAGACATATCATGTACTGGTACAAATTCCTTATGATGAATGTTATTATTATGTCTAAAACATACTGATAAATGTTTTGAAAAAAAAAAAATAGAGTAGGCATTTTGTTGGCCCTGTAGGAATGCTGGGAATTTTTTGGGTTGTGGTCTTTCCTAGGTCCTGCTTAGTTTCCTCACATGCATGCACTGATCAATGCTAGCTCAGTGTTAAGGAAGACCTCTGCAGATCTGTGGAGTTCTCCAGCCACACATCTCTCCTCTTGAGCATTCTGTTCTACAGACATTAGCCTCCTCATTACTCCAGATTCGCAGTTCTGATTCTTCAGCTTGCCAGGCCTGCCAGGCATCCCCAGGGCTTTCCATCCTGTGCCTCTCATGGCTTGGCAGCTCCCAAGGCAGAAAGTTGGGTGATGGAGCCCACCTTGTTTCCTGTCCAGTATCTTGAAACTTTTTTTTCATATGTTTGGACTGCTTTTTGTTTTTTCAGGTCAGAAGGTAAATTTGGTCCTTGTTACTATGTCCTGGCCAAAAGCAGAAGTCCCTTTCCTTGATAATTTGACTTATATCAATTATTGGTTAAAGCTGACAGCATTCTTAAACATTTACTAATCTTTTTTTTTACTTAAATTCTTTTATTGGTACATTTTAGTATACAATACGTTTACATTTATCATTGGGTGCTTGTACCTGTACATGTTGTATCTTGGTTCTTATTTTTTCCCCGTTACCTGTGCACCCTTCACCCCTCCACCCTTCCCTATTTACATAGACTTCATTTCCAGTTTTTTTTCTTTTCTCACAATTTGTCCTTTCCATTCTTTCCTTTCCCCATCTCCTCCCACCACCCCTACCCCTTTGGACCTTTTCTTATTTCAAAGTATCAATTATTAGTTATTAATCCTTTTAATCCTTATTTACTCTCAGTTTTTCCCACTAGAGAAACTATTCGGTATTTACACGTGTGTCCTATTTATTTCACTTGAGAGTATGGCCTCAATATGCATCCATTTAGCTATAAATGACTTTAGTTTCTCATTCTTTATTGCTGAGTAGTACTCCATTTTATTTAAAAAAACCACATCTTCTTTATCCAGTTTCCAGTTGATGGGCACTTGGGCTGTTTCCAAGCTTTAGCTATTACAAACTGTGCCGCTGTAAACATGGGTGCACAGATATCACTGTAGTATGATTCTTTTACTTCTTTGGGGAATATACCCAGCAGGGGAATAGCTGGGTCAAATGGGACCTCTAGCCCTAGTTCTCTGAGGTATCTCCACACTGATTTCCATAGTGGTAGCACCAGCCTGCACTCCCACCAACAATGGAGAAGGGTTCCTTTCTCTCCCCACCGCTGCCAGCATTTGTTATTGGTTGATTTCTTGATAGCAGCCACTCTTTCTGCGGTGAGGTGGAATCTCAGTGTTGTTTTCATCTGCATCTCTCGAATGACCAGTGATGTTGAACATTTTTTCATACATTTATTTGCTGCTTTTACTTCTTTGTCTGAGAAATGTCTGTTCATTTCAGATGCCCATTTTTGAATTGGGTCTTTGAAACATTTACTAATCTTAATTTTTTTCATTTTATTGATTTGTATGAAACCTGTGTCTGTAATTTTTCTTTGGTCAAAGTCTCTGTTGCTGTAATTGCTGTGATACAACAAATATTAAATGACTCTAAAGCTTTTTATCATCTTTTAATATACCCTTCTAATGTAGGCTTCTGTAGTACTAGCTAAGTAGTGATTTAGTGTGGGCTTCTGTTATTTAACAGGGTACAATTAAAGGACATGCTCTGACCTGATGAAGCAGAACAATGAAATGTGTGGAGCTCTTGGGGCTTTCCCACAGCAGGCTCAGGAGGCTTCTGTGTATGGTAACTCATATTTTCTAGTAAATGAGGTTGGGAGGAAGTGGTGAGCTAAGACAGGCAGAAAAAGCTATGAAAGAAGAGCAGAATCATTTTGAGCAGACTTAAGATGAAACTGTACTGAAGAATAATTGCTGCAGGGATGGGAGTGACCTGGAACCCATTGGTGGTGAGCTGTTAGAGAAAGAGGAAAGTAGCAGAATAGAAATAGAATGAAAAATCGGGCCTTGTTTTGTATATTTTTGTTTGTTTGTTTGGTACTGGGGATTGAACTCTGGTCCTTGTGCTTGCAGGGCAGGTGGTGGAACCACTGAGCTAAATCCCCGGCCCACAAGATGGCTTTTTTTTTTTTTTGTCATTTGTCTTTTTTGGTACTGGGGACCGAACTCGGGACGTTGTGCTGGGCCTTGTTTTGCAGGAGATGCTGTTCTCTCTCAGATTTGCTACCTCATAACTCCAACTGTTTGTGGTTTATGCTTGTTGGATATCCAAGGGTGAAGTAATTAAGTCAGAGCATACCTGGGGATAATAAACTATAAGTATATGATACGGTAAAATCATCTAGCTGTATGTGTGAACTTAAACGTATAGCAAAACCATACTTTAATGGCATTTTGTATACACTATGTAATAAATAGTATGAAATAGTAACATCAGTATATAAATCCCATGTGTTAAAGTCAGTAAATCATAATTCCTTGACCTTTAGGGGTGGTGATGATATTATTATAGCTAAGAAAAGTTGTAAGAGAGTTTTGTAACTTTGCAATAAACTTTTTAAAAAATACAAACTCCTTGTAGGCAGATATGATGTTAATTTTCTAGGACTTCAAAACTATGTGGGTTGGAAAAAAACTTAAAAACTGTGGGTTGGTAATTTCAAAAGCTCTGTTTGGAAACAAAAAGTAGTTTTGATAATACAGGTGGTGTTTATTACTCAAAATATCTGTCTTTGCCAAATCATTATGAGTCTTGTGTCAGGAATTTGTGTAGATAAGAGAAGGCAGAACATCTGCATTTTATTTTCTTCAGCCTAGGGAAGCATAGGTTTTTCATAATCCAGAATGCATATAATAAGGCAATGATAAATACCGGAAGCAGGAGACAGTACATCTGGGAGGGGAGGAAGAGAGTGCCTTTCAGGACACTGTGAGGGACATTCATTTGTCCTTCAGGATAGCATACCCATTTGTATTAGTGTTTTGTTTGCTTTTTAAAGCAAACTCTTTTATAAAGCTTAGCATAAATGGAAAAAATTGAAGATCCTAAGTATATACCTGATAACCATATGACTAATAGCTGCTGTTCAGATTAAGAAACAGAACAATTCTATTTGAAATGGTTTTTTTCAAGCTGGGTTGTGGGCACATGGTATTCATAGTGGTTTTTTGTTTTCTTTTGTTTTTATGGTACCAGGGATCGAACTCGGGTCCTTGCACTTGCGCAGCAGACAGTGAAACCACTGAGCTAAATCCCTGGCCCTATAGTGTTTTTTTTTTTTTTAATTTTTAAAAAATCTTTTTTGGTGGTACTGGGGATTGAACCCAGGGCCTTGTGCATGCTAAGCAAACACTGTACCACTGAGCTACATCCTCAGCCTTCACTCCCAGTGGGGTTTTTAAAATTCTTTTATTTAATGTTTTAAAATCTGTCATGTTTTAAAAAATTATTGCAGAAGGAAATATAGTCAGGCTTTATTAGTGAGAAAGTATATTTGAAAATAGTTGTCCCCCTTTTCTGTAATAGGCTTTTGTTTCATGTATCTGATACAGTTTATGAACCTCTATACCCTAAGTGATTGAAAAGTTTTACAGTAGAAAAAGAACATAAACAACGGAATAGAATCATTAGTAGTAAAAATCATTAGTTCTTGGGCTGGGGATTTAGGTCAGTGGTTCCACTGCCTGCCTTGCAAGCTCAAGGTCCCAAGTTGGATCCCTGGTACCAAAAAAAAAATAGTTCTTTAAAAAATATAGCACAATATTGGTCTTTTATAACTAAAGTGAAGTTTTTATTGTAATGTGAAGTTTTATCAAAATTATGAGTACATTGAAATAACAGTTTTCTTATTGTTGTTATTGTTATTATCATCGGTGATGCTGGAGATTGAATCCAGGGCCTCAGGCATCCTGGGCAAGTGCTGTACTACTAAACTACAACTACAGCCCAATATGACAGTTTTTTAAAAAAATTATCACTAAAATCACAGAAATGGTGTATTTATTTCTGTAATGGAATGTTCAAGCTATAGAAGGAACTGAGCTCTTAAGACTAAAATTCAGGGGTCAGGGATTTAGCTCAGTGGTTTTGCCGCCTGCTGTGCAAGCACAAGGACCCGAGTTCGATCTCCGGTACAAAAAAAAAAGACTAAAATTTATATCTAGCTTAAAGGGTCTATATCTGTTAGAGAAATAATTTTCCATATAGTAGTCAGAAATAATGCTAAACCTAAAGAATATCCAGAAATTGCAGTTACCTGTTCACTTTTGTGTTTTTTCCCTCAAGTGGGACACACCTTTTTTTTTTTCTTTTTTCTTTTTTGAGACAGGGTCTCACTATGTAGTTTAGGGTGGTCTTGAGCTCACTATGCAGTCCAGGCTGGCCTCACACTCAAGGTGCCAACCTACCTCAGCCCACGAGTGCTAGGATTACAGGCGTGTGCCACCACACCTAGCTAAGGGGGCACATTCTTATGAACATGAGGATTTGTGATTATTTTGCCTATAGCAAATCTTACATAGGTTTCATTTTATGAAAAATACAAATGGGATTTTACTCTGTTATCTACAACATACCTTTTTAAGTAAGCTGTGGCTGATTTGCTGTTGAATAACCATTTGTGTGTTTCTGTAAATTGTTGGTCGTTTGCCTTTCTTCTGCTGTTGAGGGTTATATGCATAAAATTGTTAAAGTGTTAATCTATTGAAAATCACTTATTGAATAATTTTTACTTCTTTGACTCTGGAAGCCAATAAGGCAGTGTAGGTAGGTTACAGTTTCTAATATGTTCATGTGTACAGTATTTGGTTTTTGGAGAAGTTGTTAGAACACACTGAAATCTTTGTTTTCCTGTTTTCTTCTGACAGGCAGTGGAGGAAGAAATGGCAGGTCCCAGTCAACTTTGCATTCGCCGCTGGACTACCAAGCATGTAGCTGTGTGGCTGAAGGATGAAGGCTTTTTTGAGTATGTGGACATCTTATGCAACAAGCACCGACTCGATGGACTCACACTGCTGACGTTGACTGAGTATGATCTCCGCTCTCCTCCTTTGGAAATCAAAGTCCTAGGGGACATTAAAAGGTTAATGCTTTCAGTCCGAAAATTACAGAAAATACATATTGATGTTTTAGAGGAGATGGGCTACAACAGTGACAGTCCCATGGGCTCCATGAGCCCGTGCATCAGTGCTCTCCAGGGCGCAGACTGGCTGTGTAATGGGGAGCCTTCTCATGACTGTGATGGACCCCTCACTGACCTGAGCACTGATCAGTACCAGTATATGAATGGCAAAAGCAAACATTCTATTCGAAGACTGGACCCAGAGTACTGGAAGACCATACTGAGCTGTATATACGTTTTTATAGTGTTCGGGTTTACATCATTCATTATGGTTATAGTCCACGAGCGTGTGCCTGACATGCAGACTTACCCGCCGCTCCCAGATATATTCCTTGACAGGTGAGTTTCGCTTCAGCGTGCTGTCTCTGCAAGGTTGCTGTAGTAACAACAGCAATGATATATGTGTGATGATTATGTTATTATTGTGTTGCTGTTGACACTGGCTTTATCTGGCAATATAAAAGGATATGCTTTGAAATCACTTAAAGTAAATTAGAATTTAGGCCTAGGGGAGCAATAGAGACCACTGTTTAATTTCTTTTTCTATAGGTTTAACTGTGGATACTTCAGATTTTAAGAGGGTGCCCTAGTGTCCTGAAAGGATGTATATAGTAAATAGAACTTGGTCTTGGTCACCTTTTCCTTTTTCCTTTTTTGTTTGTTTGTTTTTTTGTACTGGGGAGCAAATGTAGAGGTACTCTGTTACTGAGCTACATCCCTAGCTATTTTTCTATTTTTTATTTTGTGACAGGGTCTTACTAAGGTGTGCTTGTGGGAATCAGACTTGGAATCCTTCCTGAGTCCTGAGATTATAGACATGCACCACCACATTTGGCTTCGTCACCTATTTTTTTTTTTTTAAGAAAATGATTTTCTTGGCGGGGGCATTTAGCTCAGTGGTTCCACTCCTGCCTTGCAAGTGTAAGGACCCGAGTTCAATCCCTGGTACCAAATAAATAAATAAATAAATTGGAACTGTTTGTTTTTTGAGATGGTTTTTTGGGGCGGGGGGGGGGGGGGGGGGACTGTTTGTTTTTATAACTTTTGTTTTTGCTGTCTCACTCTGTAATTCAGGTTGGCCTTGAACTCACTAGGTAGCCCAGGCTGGCCTTGAACCAATTGTGATCCTCCTGCCTCACCCTCCTGAGTGCTGGGATTATAGGTGTATGCCACCACATCTGGCCTTTTTTTTTTTTTTTTTTTTGGTACTGGGCTCCTTACACTTGCAAGGCAGACAGTGGAACCACTGATCTAAATCCCCGGCCCTGGCCATTTTTTAAATAATTGTGATTTTAAAAACTCTTTTAAAAAGTTGTTATATCTTCTTACTTTGTTTTGTTGTTGGTTTGGGTTGGTTTTTTTGAGACAGGGTCCTCCTCTGTAGTCAAGCTGGCCTGGGAAAATAGCCCAGGCTGGCCTCCAACTTGAAATGGAATTGCAAGTGTGCCCCACCACCCCTGCTCCATTTTTGTTTATTGTCTTGTCCTTCTGAAAAGTCCCTTGTATGTGGGCATTTTTTGTATTATTTTTGGGGACTAGGAATTGAACCCAGGGCCTTCACACTTAACTATTATCTCTAACCCTTTTTATTTTTATTTTTTTTATTTGAGACAGGGTCTTGGTAAGTTTCCAAGTCTGGGCTTAGACTTGGGATCCTCCTGCCTCAGCCTCACATTGCCGGGATTGCATGCACATGTCACTATAGTATATATACTTTTAAACATCCACATTAATGGCAGAATAATACATGCATCACATTTTATTCTTTGTCAAACCTTGATTAAAACTATAATGAGTTTGTTGTTGTTGTTGCTTTGTAAGCCTACAAGGCGATGTGGATAAAAGAGGAGAAAACAGCTATACACTTTTGGAAGTTTGAGAGCAGACAGATGAATGACAACCAGCAAACCTAAAATATCCTAATTCTGAAATAGCAACAGGGATAATTGAGAATTAACTCAATTTATATTACACATTTCTCAAAGGATTAGATACCGGAGGTGAAAGGGTGATGCCAAAATAGAGAAAATTGATTGAGAGCTGTTTAAGAAGTCTCCTTTGCTATTCTATATAATGTTCCCAACTAAAAACCTAAGAACGTAAAGGCAGAAGCAGAAAACCATGTGCTTATCTAGGGAGAAGAGTACTTTAGGCAGAGGAAGTAGTATATGCAAAAATCCTGAAGTTCGAGTGTGCCTGGTATGTTTAAGGAGCAAGTAAGATGAGGACGGCAGTTGAAGACCAAGGCTGAGTGGAGACAGGAACCCAGATTGTTGTAGGGACTTGCAGACCATTATAAGGATGTTGGCTTTCATTCTAAGTAAAAAGAGAAGCCACTAGAAAATGTTGAGAATAGCGTGCTCTAACTTCAATTTTAAAAGGTCACTCTAATTACTGTATTGAGAATAGCCTGGGGAAGCAAATCTGTTATGATTGTTACTGAATTCAGCTAGAGAAGAAGAAGTTAGATTAGATATGGCTGGTAATACATAGTACAGTATGTCAAATCCTGTATATATTTTTGTTTTTGTTTTTGTTTTTTGGTACCAGGGATCGAATTTGGGTCCTTGCGCTTGCGCAGCAGGTGGCAAAACTACTGAGCTAAATCCCCAGCCCAAATCCTGTATATATTTTTGAAGTGGAGCTAACAGGATTTGTTGGTGTACTTGGGTGTGAGGTGTAAGAGAAAGAATGAAGTCAAAGATTATTTCAGGATTTTTGACTTATGCACCAGAACGATGGAGTTGCAATTTACAGAGATAGGAAGAAAGGAGCTGACTTAGAGAAAAGATTAAAGGTTCCATATTGGACACATTAAATTTGAGATATCTTTTATAATAAATCACATGTCAAGAGGTGGAAAATTAGCCAAAGTTCAGAGAGTGAGCTCAGCTAAGATAAAGGAGTTTGCAGCATGAGTAAAGCCGTGATTATTACAGACAAGGTCTCCTAATGAGTGAGTGCAGAAAGGGAGAGGTTTGAGGGTTCAGCCCAAGAACATTCTACCTTTAGAGGTTGGTGAAGATGACTGAGAAGGCCAGGGCAGAGAGAAATTTCCTGGAAGCCAAGCAAAGAAAGTTATTTTAGGAAGGCAGGAATAATTAGCTGTGTCAAATGGTCTGAGAGGTCCAGTAAGATGATAGCTGATCAGAGGATTTAACAATATATTGGTCATCAGTAACTGTGCCATTTAATAAGGGCAGAGCCCTGACCATAATGGGTTTAAGAGAGTGTGAGACACACTGGAACTTACCTCACAGCATTTTTCCACAAGTATTTTTTAAAATGGATAAGTAGTTATTTGATGTGACATTCGTACTAATTATAAATACTGGAAATAATTTAAATGCTTATCCATGAGAAATTGTTGAAGTGCTGGAGTGTGGTTTAATTATTAAAAAGAATGCAGTTTTTATGAACTGATATGAAGTAATTTTCAAGAGAAACTCAATAGTCACATGGTTTCTAAATACCATTCCCCACTAAAAAGAACCAAACTAGGGGTCCTTGAAGTGGCTGATTTTAAGTCTGGGGCAAGGAGAGTGTAAATCAACCGTGAAGCAGATCTTGCGCCAAAAGTCAAGAAGGCCACGATCCAGTAGAAACCTGTAAAAGACATGGGAACTGCTTTCCAGGAGCTCCTGCTGATCTGATTGGGACAGTTGGAACATCAAGAAGAATAATGATGGCAGTGGATTATAATGTACTAAGAAAGGGCTGGGGATTTAGCTCAGTGGTTTCACTGCCTGCTGCGCAAGTGCAAGGACCTGAGTTTGATCCCTGGTACCAAAAAAAAAAAATTTACTAAGAAAACTAATCTGTAAATCTGTAGTAATAAACAAAAAAATCAAAAAAAAGAATCAGAGGAGAAGCCCTTCAAGAACAGTCTCAGCGAATATGAAGTCATGTATTCCATGTCCTCCAATTCAGCTGATTCAGGCAAGTCCAGGAGGTAAAAGGCCATTGGTAGTAGCGCATTCGTGCAATCTGAAGGAGCCATCTTACACATTACTTAATTACAGAAGGGATCAGAGACCTATGTGATTGCAAGATCTGGCATGCATCATCCTAACCAGCTGAGCAAGTGGTAGGTATGTCACGGTGGGAAAACGAGCATGGGGTACATTTAATGTGATGTTTATGACATTGCCTGTGTAGTAAGCTTGCTGCCCAATTCCTTTTACCCCCAGTCTAAGCATGAGGAAACAGTCTAGTCATGGAACACATGACAGCCATCTGGACCATCCAGAAATCTCAGTGTTGTGGCAAAGAAAAACCAGGGGGATTGCAATGGAATTGAAGAAACATAACTAAGAGCAATGCATGAATTTTAATTGGATCCTAGATTAAGAAAAAAAAATCTGTAACGGAGCCTTTTAGGACAATTCAGAAAATTTAAATATAGACTGAATATTAAATGATAGTACTGGGGGGCTGGGGATTTAGCTCAGTGGTTTCACTGCCTGCTGTGCAAGCTCAAGGACCCGAGTTCGATCCCTGGTACCAAAAGAAAAAAAAAACACACAAAGTACTGGGCTGGGGATTTACCTCAGTGGTTATGTAACCTGCCTCAAGCACAAGGACCTGAGTTCAATCCCTGGTACCAAAAATAAATAAATAAATAAATGATAGTACTAAATCATGTTACAGTTTCCTGAATGTAATGCAGTAGTATATTGGTTTATGGAAAGGATATATCTATTCCTAGAGATAGATGTTAAAAATATTCAGGTGAAGCTGTGCATAGTGGTGTATGTCTGTAATTCCAGCCCTCAGGAGGCTGAGGAAGGAGGATCTGTGAGTTCAAGGCCTATGTGGGCTACATAGTGAGTTCAAAGCTAGCCTGGACTACAAAGGGGGACCCTCAAAAAAACCAAAAAAAAGTATTTAGGTGAAAAGTATCGTAAGGTCATTAACATACTCTTATAGATTTCATTCTCCCCCAAACAGCAGGTGCCTATGAGGGTATGTGTAGAAATAATGAAATAGAGTGAAGGTTGCAAATGTTAAGTATTACAAACAATTGAAGATTCAGATGAAGACTATAAAATGCTTATTCTTATAACTTCAGTAGGATCAGAATTTTTCAAAGTAATAGAATTAGTTGAAGAAATGATAAGAGAAAGAGAATAGAAACAATAAATAGACCAAGTGTGGTGGCATATCTCTGTAATTCCAGCTTTCAGGAGGCTGAGGCAGGAGGATCACCATGAGTTCAAGGTCAGCCTGAAAGACATAGTAGACCCTGTCTGAAAAAAAAAATAACAGAAGAATTGGAGATGATTAAATCTTTCCTATAGGGCAAGTTTTTCTGTAAGGCTGCAGACAAGTGGAGCTGT